GCGTATTGGATATAAACCATTTTTATTTGCTACGTGTGTATGTACGCCGCGTGTAGCGTTGTTGTTGTGCTTTTTTTTCATCCTGTCGAACCCTCTGCGGCGTTTCGCGTAATATTTTCGCTGTGTATTCACCCTTGTAACGAGAGTAGATCATATAAGTTTACATGAACGGTGGATGAGGGACGGTGCGGGACCAGGGGGCGGCCAACCAGCCAACGTAAACAGACACCGCGTATCCATTTTCAAAACGTCTCTAATTATACATGCAGCGAAAAGCCAAAGCTCGCGTCTCTCGCGAGCCTCAGCACCACTACTCACCAGCATCAACATTTCACCCGAACGAAAAAAAAAATCTATCGAACATATAGCAATAACCAAATAGCATAGCAATCCGTGCGAAAAGTACATACCAAAAAGTAGGTTTCTTTTTTTTAAAATGGTCATATGATGAACCTAAAACTACAAAACGAGATGATGTTTTTTCTTCCAATTATTTTCGGCTCTAGGGAATCCTATAGGATATTTAATTACCTTGTTTGTTCCTTCAGCGAAATAAATACGCGCGCGTACAAGGGGATTATTAATAATTCAGCCACGTATTAATCCAATTATCGGAAACAGGACCGGACTGTTTGTCGTTCACTACATTATTATCCAAAAGAACCATTTCGGTTCTGCAACACGACAGTGCTTACTTTTTAATTCTTGTCTGAGTTCAAAGTTAAGTTTACCTTTTATTCGAATGTTTAAAAACAGGGAAAATTGTTATTCGCAGACATTTGTTATTTTTTACGTTTATTTTCATTTTCCTGTGTTTGGTAATAACATAGATTGATTTAAACCGTACGTGGGATTTTATGTTTTCCAAACGAAAAAGCATTTTAAACTAAACGACATTCCATCTTATTTATTATTTTAGTGGGTTTCAGCTTCATGAATATATTTATGAATTGATTTTTTCAAAGCAAAGCTATGATTTCTTTTTCTTTTTTAATAATTTGAAAAAACTGGACGTCTTTATCTGAACGTTCTGTGGATTTTGTAAATTAACTAAAAACGTTACTAAACTAAAACATTAGAACTAATTTCGGTTTTCGAATTACATAAATTTACTCAAAAAAATGATTTTCAAAAACAGAGTTTTAAAAACCGACAAGCCCTAGTGTCTCTCAAAGTGCATACCAGGTTGAAAATCGCTGCTATTTAATTAATATTGGTGTTAACAATAACACTTCTTCCGAAATAATTATAATTATCACTAAAAAAACCAGTTTTCAATGTCATTTAAGCATATTTTTAAATCTTTGTTCTTTAATTTTGTCTTCGATTTTTCTAAAAGTTCGACTGAAAACCATCATTCAATGTTTTCGGACAATTGCGCTTTTCGAATAGGCGGATATTCTTAAAACAATGGCACTTTGTATATTTTTTTTTTAATTTGTGGGATTCATAAAGTCGAATCTCTTATGAAGACGACGACGATCATTAAAATATGCCACATATATATTGTTTATTTCTTTTTGAAAGATAAAGGAAATTATAATAAAATAAACAATAATTAACCATTACGAAGGGCTACTATTCATAAGTGAATCCGCCCTATAAAATAAAATGATCAGTATCAAATAAATGTGTATGTAAAATACCTTTATAATAGAACATTCTAACTTTATGATTTCATTATTCAGGGCAGAATGGACGTCATAGATGTAGCTCTGTAAGTAAACTATATGAAAATAATAATTATTAATAATGATTATTATTAATGATGTTAATAATTATTATTAAATTTATCTATTTTATACAACCATATTTTATAATTTATTATCAAATCATTGATTCAATTTATAAATTCATATTAAGTATAATACCTTAACAAACTTATATTGCTCCAAGGCTTTTTTAAAAAAATAAATGAGATACTACTTGAAAATAAGTATTATCAACAACATTAAGTAGAATTTACATATTTCATAAGAGCCATTGTGAATGATGCACACTAGTAAATACAAATATAATGTTTAGCAATTTTTCTAAAAGTAACACTTACTGTTAGTTCAATTCAATAAATTATTTATATAATGTATATTTCCTGCATTTATATAAAGTATTATTTCATAATCATTATTAAACTTTTAAACTAATTATTACAATTTAAAACAATTTATGTCCAAGGAAACGTAAATTATATTTCTTAAGTAATTGTAACAACAGCAACCGTAAAATTCATATTAATTTGCAGCAAAACTTTCTTTTCATATCAATGAAAAAAATGTTTATACTCTAATAATAGGGCGAATAATAGCCGAATGGTTTAGTCGCACTGCTCACGATTTCGTGGGCGCCGGTTGAAATTCTGGTCAAGCCAGGCCCTTTGTATCCCTCTCGGTGCTTGCAGCATCGTTCATCACAGATGGACAGTCAAATGAATGATGTTCAGCATATGAACCTTCAGCCAAGTCGATGGACAATGACAGTGTTAAGGATAGCAGCAGATTTACAGTCAAAGGAAATAGTGGAATCGCAGAGCAACAGTATACTACTGAAGTTAACCTACAAGACGACAGCCAACCAATAAATTAAAAAATATCAAATCATCATAATGGTAACTATCCACCGGGAAAGGTTATCCATTTAATGTCAAACGCGATCTTAAATTCACTTAATGTTCACATTGATGAACAGATTGTGAATAAAATGATACGACTTAAAAAAAGTCTAATAATATTTGTAGTAAAAAATTTGATTAAATTACAAAACTTTAAACTCATAGTAACTGATAAAAAGTAGGAATCTTCTAACAAATAATGAGAATTATTAAATGGTCATAAATAATAAATATATTTTTATTCTTATAAATCACGTTACAAATTTGCTTTATTGTATTTTAAATTCAATAATATGTCTATTAATAATTAAATGTTAATGCTGTAAATAATATTTTCATAACTGAATTTCAATAATATTAAAACAAGCTATGCTTTTCTCCTTATTTGTAAAATATGTTTTGTAATGTCGTATAAAAATATTAATTTATTACATTAATTTACAACATTATCCATTAAATATTTTAATAATGCACATCTGATGTTCTATATTTTGAAATGATAATTGCGCTTATAATTAGCTAATTACGTTTATATAAAATAAATAATTTGTTACCGTGATTGCCAAATTGATTTATGAATCCTTGATAAACTGATTAGGATGCTAGTGTTTACAGTAGTTTGTAACTAATCTGAACTATTATCATTGGCCAACATATTTGACAAAAAATCTTTCACGCTTGTCATGAACTTACGAATGTAAATACGAAATAAAATAGTGAAATCTACAAATTATTAGAATTATATATTACAAAAAAATAAATAATTCATTATAACTAATATAATTGAATTTATAAATATGTCTGTTAACTTTTGTTAATTTTTTATTTTTAAATAATGTTGTTGTAAGAAGCATTATTATCATTAGAAAAAAAAACAGCTTTTCTTTCATTAATTACTTACAAATGATATTGTCATTGCTTACTTAGATCATTATAAAATATTTATATAAGAATGAGTTAGAATAATAACATACAAAACACAAGTACATTTTTAAATTGTACAAAGTAGATTTATTGTAATTCATAAGGAAGTAAGATTACATAAAGTTACTCTTTTTAAATCAAGTATCTCCTACACTTAATACAGGATATTCATACAGGACTTTATTTAGTATAAAATGATGGGTCTCTTTTAACTCCATCATTCTCCAATATTATAAACTATTACAACAATTCCTATATTTTCTTTGTAAGTAAGACTGTGGTTAATTACCCATTATATGTGTGTTTCCAAGTATTCACTAATTTATTATCGCTATTATGATATTTTTTCAAAAAAATCATTATTAATAAATTAATACAAAAAAAATGAAAGAAAGAAGCTAGTTGGCTATACGAAAATATATGATTCTTATATACTTGCATCTCTTACCAATTTTCATTCAGAATTATTTGCATTTTGCAATTGAGTTAACTATCAACAAATTAGTTTACTTAAGTTCATTGTTATTCTTCAAATAGATTAATTAATATCTTGTAATTAAACAGTTGTAATATTCTTTTGTTTTGTTTTTTGTAATTATTTAAATATAAGCCTTATATAAATTTGTTTTATACATATGTATATGGCTGTTATAATATATTTTTTTTAATAATAATAAATGATCTATTTAAAATAAAGTAAATGCCTTGACATTCTTTAGAACATCAAAGTTCTATGCTTTTCCGATGACAGGCATTGAGACGATGTGTTTAAAGCATACAGTTTAATATTTTCACTGGTGTAAAAAGATATGCGCGCCGCACCGTAAGTTGAAAATTTGCGGAAATTGGATCTGTTTTCTTCTTCTCATGATTTTCTTAATACCGCGCGCCGAGACGCTGATCGTGTGGAATTTTCGTGGAACTGCCGCTTCGCGAAAGTGTTTAATGTGATTTGTGCAGTTTATGGACGAGCGAGGCGAGCAAGGCGAACGCAGGAGACGTAAGAAGTATAGGGTAACAACGCACACGTACGTATTTACGACGTCTGATGGATATCAGTTCCACACCATCTGCGATTTGATACTGGGGATCGGATGAACGGATCGGCTTACGCACCAAGTTTAGAGGAGAGACCCGTGCCTTCTTCTGCCAGAAGACAGAACTAGCGACAACCAAAGTCCAGATGCACCAAGTGCAAGTAGGCGAACAATCGGTTTTTATGTTTTGTCATTTCCAAATTAAAATCGGTTGCTGGCATCGCATCGCCGACGTAGTCCGTTGGCATCATCGAATTAGTCCAAAAAAATAAAAATAAAAAAAGGAAAAAAGAGAAATAAGCGCGCTCGCACATCTGCTTCATTAATATTTTTCATCTTGTTTTTTGGCACAAGCTCGGATAGGTGCATTCGAAATACGATTAAAAAAAATAATAATATACGAAATTTGTTTATTTAAACAATTCGCTTACCTTTATCTCCTCATCTGCGCGCTCCTTCTTCACCGTGACTATCTTATTTTTAACCTGGCCCTCCTCTGCGACAGTCGTATTATCCATCAAAGAGGAAATCGAACTAGCATACTCCTCCTCGACACCACAAAGTAACTTTCCCGCACTTGAAACAACGTCTTTCTCAATTCGAATTTTTCTCTGGGTGATAACTTCTTCACTGGGGGAGGTGTCAACAAACACGCACAGGTGTAGGATGATCGCGGCGGCACGAGGATCAAGGAAATCTGGAGGAGAGGATGAAAAAGCGCGCGTTCCACTTCGGTTTTCAGACAGCAATTAGGTACGAATTGTGTTCGACAACCAAGATACAACAGTATATATTTTTATGTATTATCACATAAATTTGAAACTTTTTGGGAATATATCTGCTGATATTAGATAATAAAAAAAACTATTAATTGCAATAATAGCATGATTACTGAATTGATCATAGTCCGAACACGGTTAACTCATTGTGTGACCTTAGTGATGGATGGGTACTTTGATGAATGATGCGGACAGTGCACGCAGGTCCGTATCCGGCGGAAGTTCGGCGCGCGTCCAAGTTTTCGCGCGCGTTCAAACGCGGCGGGAACTCGCGAGGCAAGAACGTATGTATCAGACAGACAGAAACAGTCGCAACATCCCCACTTTCAGGAGTTACCAAAATAATCCCATCATTGTTGCGAAGCTCGAAGCAACGGCGGCAACGGAGGCGGCGTCTGCGACACCAAACAGCAACAGCG